CCTCTTGGGCAGTCTTGGGGCCATCTTGGGCCGTTTGGGGGCCCTCTTGGAGACCTCTCGGGCCGTCTTGGGGCGGTCTTGGGGCGGTCTTGGGGGCCTCTTGGGGCGTCTTGGAGCGTCGGAAGCTGAAAATGCGCGAACGCCAAAAACCTTCAAAAACCAATGGAAATCAACGATTTTTGCTTCTTGGGGCCCTTTTTGGAGGCCTCTTAGATGCTTCTTGGGCCATCTTGGAGGCCTCTTGGGCCGTCTGGAGGCCATCTTGGGCGTCGTGGAGCGATCTTCGGGCGTCTGGGGCCCCTTGTGGACCATGTTTGGGGCCTCTTGGGGCCCTCTTGGGGCGATCTGGAGCCCTCTTGGGCTCCGAAACAGAATTCCGGCATCTCTGACCCCTAGTCTGCCGGGGATCTGCCGGGGATCGCCCGGGGTACTTTTCGCTCGGGGACCCCCAGGGGCCGCCCTACGCGCGCGAACTAGAAATACTGTTTACCTGTTACCGGAGATCTTAGCACGCCCTGGCCCGTTGGGCCGGCGAATTGCTGAGACCCCATGTGTACGTGATGTTTGGGATGTATGGTTGGAATTGGTACATGCGTGAGCGGGGCCGCAAAACGTTGCGGTTCAAGCTTATCCGAGGCTGCCCAGTTGTGTTCTGATGTGAGTTCAGGCAACCGAGTGGGTGTGGGAGAGAGACTTCATTCACATATCTTGCCTCCTGCCCCAGGACCCCCTCTTGTCGTCAATGTCTGCAGTGCCCTGCGATTGGCGTTGCCCGCCTGCCTGGCGTGCCTGGGCGCACCGGCGCTGGCGGCTCTCGAACGAGAGGCCATCGGCCCAGACGGCGCATTCGATTGGAGTTCGGTGCTGATCGTCGCCTGCCTGTTGGGCCTGGCCAGCTTCTGCTGCCTCCCGGCGGCGATTGTGGCTGTCTGGGGGTGTCGGGTTTCGGCCACACCGAGGCCGGACTAGTCGCCACCTGCGCTGTGCAGCCCCTCGCAGGTCCGCGACAAGGAGGTGGACGTGGCGTAGCTAGCTCAGGAGTGCCTGGCCCTGCTCAGACAGTGGCGTGTCAGCTAACGTGATGGCTGAAGCTGCTCGGAACTCAAGCGGGTGAATATGGTGCTGTTCGTTACGTATAACGCGCCAGGGCCGCCCATATGCTACGAACGGTTCGTTCTCATTCAGCAGGGGGCGGGCTTCACCATCAGTGTGCGCACCCCCGACGGGGTCAATTTCGATGAGGATGGGTTGCCTGGGCTCGACTTCGCTTGGTTCGGCTTGATGAATGGACGGGCCTGTGGTGGAGCCCCCCCGCCTGGTCCCAACGGCGCCGTGCTGCCATTCTACAGGTGCCAGAACGCACCGACCCTGGAGGTCTTTCAGGCCGCGTCCACAGTAGCTGCGGCTCGAAGAGGCTTGCCCGTACCCGCCGATGGCTGGCAACCCAATCCGGGTGGGCGGGCCATGGTGGCGGCGCCCGCTGCTAGCGTAGGCGGCCCAGGCCTGCCTGGGGCCAGTGGGGTGCCAGGCGTCGGTGGAGGCGTCGGCGCGCTGGCCGCTGCGCTTGGGCGGGCCCCAGGCGGCGCAGCCAGCGCGGCAGGGGCTGGCCCCGTGGCGGGGGCCGCCGCAGCCGCTGCCGAACCGGGCGCAGCGGCAGGCGCCCCGCCGCCTGGCATTGTGGCGCCGCTCGTGGTGGTCGCGGGTGGAGTGCTCGCGTTGGGTGGCGTACCCAGCGGCGCCGCCCCGGCCGCGGTGGCTGCCTCGTCGGATCGACATCCGTGTCCGGCCCATCCAGCACGACGCCCCCGGCTTCTGGTTCCGCGAGTTCCGGTTGGCCGTCGAAAGGATGGTAGAGACGCCGCTCAACGATTTCCCTGTCCGAGGGCCTCGAACAACGCTTTGGTTCTGCCGCTTCACGGTCGCCAACCTTCAGACCCCGTTGGGCAGACATGCAAGTTGGAAAGTTGGCGCGAAGATGCAGGCCAACGATGGGGGAGTCGAGAACGGTTTCATGTGTTGCCAGATGTTGGAGAACATGGCCAGCTCGACTAATTAAGTATCTCCGACATCGCGGGCGCAGAGATCATGTCTCGGGCGCAGAGACCAGGCAGCCGAGGACAGGCATCGCGATGGGATGCCAAGCATGTTGCGGGGAGGCGGCGAAACCGCGCAGGACGCCCTCTTGTGCATGGGCCTCGACCGTGTTCGGGGCAACGTCGCGGTCTGCCCAGTGCGGCAGGGCTGGGCGTCGGCTGAGCTGCAGAAGGAGACTTCAGTGATGAGGGAGGCGAGGAAGGCCTGTGAAGAGAGGGCCAGTGCCAAGACGGAGGGTAAGAAGGACAACGCCAAAAGGACGTGGCTGACCCTCCGCAGACGGCTGGGCATGGCCGGCCGCCGGCCAATCCAGCGAAGGCCTGCAGGTCGAGCTCTGGAATATCGTGCCCGAGCCCGCATTTTGTACATATTTTACCCCCGCTGGACTGGAATCCAAGTTAAGATCAAAGAACTTCCGAGTTCACGGATTTTATGAAAACCGAAGTCTAGAATCAGTAAACTCGCGAGTTCACTTGATCCCTTGGGGGTTCGGGGGCCTCGTGGGGGCCGCTTGGGGGTAGTTTTGGGGTCCCGGACATTGATGCTTCGGCCCGCACTTCCCAGTTGCATTTCCTTTCGCGCACGGCAGCCGCTGTCCCAGCCCCTGGACGTGGCCGCGACGCCGCCCCGCGCCCACCGCCACGGGTGCAGCACCGGCTGCGCCTTGGCCGGTCCGCAGCTGGCCCCGCCGCGTGAGCGCTTTCCGTCCTCTCCCCCCCGCGGTCGGCCGTTCCCTCGCTTTTTGTTCGCAATCTTGCTGCCGGTCATTTCGCGATGCCATTGCCCGCCTTGCCCGAACACGCGCGCGGATTGCTTTTGCCGCGCTGCGGCGCAAAAAAACAATGTCCATCAGCTGCGCCTCGTCGGAAGTCTCCCTGGGCGCCCAGATCATCCCCAACGGCCGTCTGAGGCCCGAGCCATGGCTCGAAAGTCGGGTGGGACAAAAAACTCTCCTTGTCGCACCCCCAGACGTGTCGGCAGGGAGGGCTTGGCGTTTCGCCCGAGTTTTCCTGGCCACTTGTGATCTTGAAATTTGGATTTGCGAGAGCTTCAAGGATAAAGAGCGGGTAGTCTTCAAAATGTGATTCTAGTTTCAGCGGCGCTCGCATTCGGCTTCAAAATTTGCAGCAGTTTTTTGGATGGTGGGCGGGCGGTTTTCAAAATGTGTCCATTGCTTGGCACCTTGCAGCAGCTTCATAGATGGGCGGCGGATGGTTTCCAACATGTGGTTTTCGCCCCAACGCCGCGCACATGTGTCGTAAAAGTTCTCAGCCGTTTTCGAAATGGAAAGCGGGTTGTTTTCAATATGTAGTTTTCGTTTTGGCGTCGCGTGCGATACGGAGTTTGTTCGTACGTTGAAAAAGTTTGCAGACAATGGTGGGGGGGGTTCTTTGTTTCAATATGTGGTGTTCGGTGTAGTTCCGCGCGCATCCGTCCTAACCGCTTGCAGTTGTTTTCAAGATTTGTAGTCTTGAGTTAACTGTTAACTCCTAAGAATGATGACTTGGCACGGTTTGGGGCTGTCAGGACGCAACCGTCACGTTGATCCGCGGTGTTGAAATTGTGGGAAAGACGTTCTCTTACGATTTCTGGTTTCAGGGCGCAACAGTCACGATGTTTGTAGCCGGCTCCAAGTCCAAAACATAATGTTTTGGCGCGATGGTGGATGTTAAGAAGGTTGTCGTTCAACGAGGCACGCCCCGCAATGAAACATACATTCAGGCACGGCCTTGTTCAGAAGGAGTTTGAAGGGATCGTTTATTGCAACATGGTGCGCCCGTTTTGTGTTTATTGTGGTTATCCTTATCCACCTCTTCCTGGTCTCGCCTTCGCCGTACCGCAGCAAAGCGCCAGACCCAAACATTTCGCGCGCAGACGCGCTCTGCGCAGGCGTTGTTGCTGACGTTCCGCAGTCTGGGTCACCGCGGCTGCGCGCTACGCGGCTTGGTTTGGTGCGGCATTTCGCCTGGCGCTGCAAGCTTGTGACCTCCTTGGTGGTTCATCTCGAGTTGCTCCCGATGCGCATCGTGCTGATGACGCTCGGCGTAACGAGGATCAGCTGCCTGGCGCTGCCGCGCCTGGCGGCGCTGGGCTAGGTCGAGGAGAGGAGGTTCCAGTCTCGCGGTATGCCGCAGGGAAATGGACGTCGGGCCCTTTTCGTTGCTACTCAACCTGTCAATCCTTCTGGTGTTGACGCTGCTTCCCTGGGCCCTCGCAGCCCTAGCAAGGGCATGGGAAAGGGCAAGCACGAAGACGAGGGCTCTTCGCCAATTGCCGACAATTTGGTCGTTGGCCGAAATTCATTGGCAAATGCTGCAGTTCTGGTGCTGATTTTCTGCGCCCCGGCAAGGGCACGAAACACGGCAGGGACAGGGGCTCCTCGCTTGCGGCCGACCCATGTGCTGTTGCTTGAAATGCACGGCACACGCGGCGCGAACGCGAAGAGGCTGCGCACCGCCTCCGCCGAACCTGAAGATTTCGGATGGGCTGAGCGTCCGCCTCGGCTGCCTGGCGATAGGGCCCGATTACGTCAGTGACCGTGTGGCTGCCGCCGCCGTCGTCCTCGCTGTCGCTCGCGTTGCTGCGCTCGTTCGTTTGTCGTCGTCGTTTTTTTCGCCGTCGTCGTTCGTCGTCGCCGTCGTTGCCGTCGTATGTGGCCGCCTGCTCCCCACTGCCTGGATACATACCACGCCCATTCGGGGCGAGCGCGTGGCCAGCCGAGAATCCGAGAATCGTCCTGCTCCTCCTTTTTTCCCCCCTCCTCTCCCTCGTGTTCCTCCTCCGTTTCCTCCTTCTCCTCCTCCTCCTCCTCCTCCTCCTCCTCCTCCAGTTTCTCCTTGCCGCCCCCCCCCCTGTGCCCCCGCCCCCGACGGCGAGGAACGACGCCGTCACCTCGCCCCCCCCAGGTCGCCCGGCCGCCCAGCGGCGGGCGCGCCCGCCTCGTCGCCATCGACTTCGGCGCTGCGCGCCTGCGGCCGCGCGGCGGCCTCCAGGAGCGTTTCGCCGCCGTGGCCGTTGTCGTCGTTCGGAGAAAGCAAAGATACAGCGAGACCGAGGCAGAAGATCGAGGTTGGTTCGGGGAGGGTGCCCTAATGTTCTTCGTGTTAGTCGGATGTTCTTGTGCATCCTGGGGAGGGTACCCTTGGATGTTCTGCTTCATTTGGCCGACGGAGGGTCTCATGTTCGTGAGGGATTTTTTCTGGCCTGGGTCCGACTGTACCACACAGCTTCGTCGCCACGGCCGCATCCGCTTCGATGTCCCAGTCAGAACGCGCCCCAGGAGAGGTTTGGGGAGTAGCGGTATCGGTATATGGAATAGTTTCGTTCCTCAAGTCCGCGTCGAAATCGTTGCCGCCGCCGCCATGGGCGTCCAAGTCGGCGTCGTCGCTGTCCACGGCGCCGTTTTTCTCGGCCCCGTATCGTTGCCGCAGTCGTCGCCGCCGCCGCCGTGGGCGTCGACGACGGCGTTGTCGCCGTTCACGGCGCCGTTTTTCTCGGTCCCGTTTCCGTCATTCGTCCTCGTGTTCTCGCCCTTCCCTTCCCCTTGCTCGAAGTTCTTGAGTCGGGTTCGTATTTCGTCGGCGTTGTCCTCATTATTTTTCGCCGTCTCGTCCTCCACCCAGGGAGGAGGGGAGGGTTCTGAAATGACGAAGACTTTGAGGACGAAAAGCTGAATTGGAACAAGACGAGGAGGTAGCGGAAAAGGAATTAGCGGGGAGGACGAAGAGGGGAAGCGGGGGCGTCGTGTGAATGCGACGCCGAGGAGGAAGAGCAGGAGGGGGAGAAAGCGGAGGTGGAATAGGGAGAGGATGAGGAAAAGGATGAGGAGGAGGGGGGTAGTTGAAAGACGAGGATGAAAAGGAGGAAGAGGTGGATGAGGAGGAGGGGAAGCATCACAGTAGTAGTAACGCTTGTAGCATCAGCTTCAGCAGTAGCATTAGTATTTGTAGTAGTAGTAGCATGAGCAACAGTAGTAGTAGCAGCCGTAGCCGTCGCCGTACTACTACTACTACTACTACTACTACTACTACTACTACTACTACTACTACTACTACTACTACTAGTAGTAGTAGTAGTAGTAGTAGTAGTAGTAGTAGTAGTAGTAGTAGTAGTAGTGGTAGTGGTAGTGGTAGTGGTAGTGGTAGTAGTAGTGGTCATCGTCGTCGTAGTAGATGCAGTAGGCGCAGTAGTCGCAGTAGCCGTGATAATAATAGTAGTAGTAGTAGTAGTTGTTGTTGTCGTCGCCGTAGCAGCAGTAGTATTTGTATTAGTAGCAGGCATAGCAGTAGTAGTAGTAGTAGAAGAAGAAAAAGTAGTAGTAGTAGTAGTAGTAGTAGTAGTAGTAGTAGTAGTAGTAGTAGTCGTCGTAGTGTTACTAGTAGTATCAGCAGTGATAGTAGTAGTAGTAGTAGTAGTAGTAGTAGTAGCGTTAGTAGTAGTAGTAGTAGTAGTAGTAGTAGTAAGTAAGTATAAGTTGAAGTAGTAGCAGTGCAGTAGTACTCGCCGTAGTATTAATACTAGTTAGAGTAGTATTTAAGTAGTAGTAGTAGTAGTAGTAGTAGTAGTAGTAGTAGTAGTAGTAGTAGTAGTCGATTTTATAATATTAGTTGCAGTCGTAGTAGTAGTAGTAGTAGTAGTAGTAGTAGTAGCAGTAGTAGTAGCAGTAGTAGGCATAGTAGTAGGTAGTATCAGTAGCATTAGCAGTAGCAGTGGGAGTGGTAATCGTATTCGAAGAAAAGAAATACCCATATTCAGTAGTAGTAGTAGTAGTAGTAGTAGTAGTAAGACTAGTAATTGTAGTAGTAGAAGTAGTAGTAGTAGTAGTAGTACTAGTACTAGTACTAGTACTAGTAGTAGTAGTAGTAGTAGTAGTAGTAGTAGTAGTAGTAATAGTAGTAGTAGTCGTAGTAGTAGTAGTAGTAGTAGTAGTAGTAGGTGTGGTAGCAGCACTTGGCGTCGTATCCTTCTTACTTTTAGTAGCAGTTGTAAGAGAAGTAGTCGTAGTGGCACTGGTAGTCGGAGTAGTAGTAGTAGTAGTACGAGTCGTAGTGTTAGTAGTAGTAGTAGTAGCAGCAGCAGTTGTAGGAGTAGTTGTCGTCGTCGTAGTCGTAGTCGCAGTTGTAGCAGATGTCGCCGTAGTAGTGGTAGTTTTCGTGGAGCAGTAGTAGTAGTCGTAGTAGTCGTAGTAGTAGTCGTAGTAGTAGTAGTAGTAGTAGTAGTAGTAGTAGTAGCAGTAGCAGTAGTAGTAGTAGTAGTCGTCGTAGTAGTAGTAGTAGTAGTGATAGCAGTAGTAGCCGTAGTAGTAGTAGTAGTAGTTGTTGTTGTAGTAGATAAAGTAGTAGCAGTAGTAGTAGTAGGAGTAGTAGTAGGAGTAGTAGTAGTAGTATCAGCAAGCGTAGTAGTAGT